GAGAGAGACCGGTTTCAGTATATTTCTCTACCTTGTAGTCCCTGTGGCGTGAGATTGATCACTTAGAGACTCTTGAGTGGGAGAGTCCCAAAGATGCACAGATATATAGAAAGCAGGTTGAGACAAACCGGGTGTTTGAGTTTCTGGCAGGCCTAAATTCAGAGTACGATATTGTACGGCAACAGATTTTGACTAGAGACAGTGTGACTCTCTCTCAGGCATACTCATTCGTACACAGTGAAGAGACCAGAAGGAAAGTTATKATGCAACCTCAGCCCCCCACACCAGCCTTTGTAGCGGTCACACCCAAATCAGGGGGTGATTCAGAGAAGGACAGGAGGAAGGAAGACAAGAAGGATGTGGTATGTGAACATTGTAAGAAGCCCAAACATACAGAAGAAACATGTTGGAAACTGCATCCACACTTGGTTCCTGCGAAGTTGAGAAGCAAGAAGGGCACTGCTCATGTAGCCATGAACACTGATTCAGCATCCTCATCTGGCACAAAATGAACATCTTTAGAGACCTTAGCTGCAGTTCGGGCTGCCCTAATACAGTTAGAAAAGGAAGTTGGAAATTCAACTCAGCCACCGCAGTCACCATCAACCCCTGCCACATCTGCCTTCGCACATTCAAGTACTCGAGCTTCAGCCTATCATGCCTCAGCTCCAGGTACTACTGAACCTTGTTGGGTAATAGATTCAGGTGCATCCGATCACATGACTAGCTTGCCTTCACTGTTTACYACTTACCATTTGTCTTCTGGTAGGGATAAAGTATCTATTGCTGATGGCTCCCTGGTTCCTAATTCTGGGAGGGGTGACATCAAGTTATCAGATACTATCTCCCTGTCATCTGTCTTGCATGTTCCTAAGCTTGATATTAACCTTCTTTCAGTCAGTAGTATTACCAAGCATATGAACTGCTCAGTAACCTTCTTCCTTGACCGATGTGTTTTTTAGGACTTGGAGACGAAGAAGGTGATTGGGACTGGACGTGAGACGAATGGGATCTATCTGCTCGGGGAGAGGTTCCGTCAGGAAGAGAAAGTAGAGAAGATGTCTTTTGTTTCTCAGAGTGTGAGTCCGGTTATGCCAAAGCATAACCGATTAGTCATCTGTCTTTTCGATCTTTAAAGAGTTTGTTCCCAGCTTTATTTGAGTCTATTGAGTTGTCTCAGTTACAGTGTGAAAGTTGTGAGTTTGCTAAGCATTGTAGAAAGCCTTATTTATTGAGTAATAAAAGGAGTGATAATTTTTTTGATATTGTGCATAC